TTTGTAGTTTGTGTGGAAGCACTTCATTCAACCTATTATACAAAGCAAAAATCCAAAGAAATCAAATAAAACAAAATAAAAAATGTGAAATGCAGTGGCACCTTAATGACTCACTATTACACTTTAATCTGAGCTTTCTTGGACAAATGCACTTTGTCAGGCATATGGAAAAATATGTCTGACAAAGTGGACTTGTCCACAAAATGTTAAGCCAAATATAATGTGATCAAGTCGTGAGAAGTTTTATTTATCAATAAGCGCTATGTAGCCTTGGATTTACAAGTAATGGAAACACATTGGTAAGTCGTAACTATGCTCTCCACTAAAACAAACCCTTTGCACTTTTGGCAATGAACGCTACACACACTAAGTGAAACAAAGGAAGGCACTCAGACAGTTCGAGGGACTGACTTTGCTCCAGCCTGACTGGCAAAGAGGGATCTGAAATGACACCTGTGGCTGTTCACAAGAGTCCCTGAGGTTTATGACACAGGTAGCAGAAGTTCATCTGAGGCCATCTCTCACAAACCCGACTTGGTTCATTCTCTTCCTACTTTTAGAGCTCAGTCTTCTAAGAACAACCTGTAGAGGTCCACATGCGAAGGAATAAATTTAACCACACAATCTCTAAGCCACTTATTCTATTAAAGCCTGTCTGACATGCTCTGGTCCTCAAGGCAGGTGCCATTTTGGTTAACAGCTGTCAGTTTCATTCTAGCTCCACAAATGTCACAGGCTTCACCAGCTGCCATGTGGCACGGAGGGTAACACTACCTCTCATCACTTTGATTGTGCAAGGCTTCTGCCAGCCAACAGCTGAAATGGCCTTATTGGGCTCCATTAAAGCACCACTCCACTCACTTGTTTCAACCCCTTTCATTCCCAAATTAAAGAGCTTGTAATCTTCCCCTGGAAATCCTCCTCTCATTTCCATTCCAGCCATTCTCCTCATTTACATCCATAAATGCAGCACGAGCATCTTGGCTAACAGGTTCTCTTTCTTTCCAGAATGTACTGCTGATAGCAAGCATGCAGTGTGTACCTTGCCTTCCTCCTCCTCCTCCTCCTTTTTTAGCATCCAAATCTTGCAGTTGCAAAAAGGCAGGAAGTTTGTTGCCTGTGACATGTCTCACCTTTTAGGAACAGATCTGAACTATCAAGTGTTTCACACAAACATCACTATAATATACCAAGAAGTAGTGTCCTCAAACCATTATTTGTGCTTTTAAGTGGCTGGATCAACATACCATTTACTGCTCTGAATGCATAAGGCAGGACATGAGGGATGCAGAAGGCAGCTGTATCTAGAAGAAACCTTAGAAATGTGCTGCCGTGCAAGCTTTAGAATCAAAAAAGACATCAAAGGAAATGCTCGTCGCCTCTGATTTGCTGATTTTTCCATACTGTGATTACCTCAGAGACTGCCTCAGCAATCAGATTTGCAAATTAAAATAATATTTACTTTCCAAAAACCAATGATAAAACAAGGGAGGTTGGAATGCAAGATAGAGACGTAAGAAAGGTTTGTGCTATCAAGAACAGATAAGTTTCACAATTCACTGAGAACCATTTCTTAATATGTGCTCAGTGGTTACAATTTTCATTTCATTAAGAATTTACCAATATTTGCATATACAGATTCCTACAAAGAATGGAAAGAATCTGAGATTGAGTAATTGATTTGAAAAAATGAGAAAGAGACATTTGCCCAGACCCAGGGATTTGAATATTTAATTCCTGAATCCCTGTTTATCTGAACATGCTGATGTTGAATTCAGGTTGCAAGTTCTGTTTTTTTCATTAGAGGCTCTTAATCCTTAAACCTATATCCCAAGCAGGCACAAAACGTTCTTCTCAATTCTTGGAACAGTTGTACTAATTGAATTTTGGCCCTGCAGATGGGGGCAAAGATAGAATTATACAGTATTTCAGTTCCATGTTTCTTTTGAACAGAGACAATGTAACAAAATTCCCAAATATCTAGAATAGAATGGAAAGAAGTTGAGAGGGTTTTTTAAAAAATTCAATTGACAAATTCTTCCACCTCAATAGAGTAAACTCTGTCACTTCAACAGTATCAGAACACAAGAACACAGAGAGCTCGTACAGTGTAGATAACAACCTATGGGCATCTTTACCCTTCTGTTCCCATCACATTCCTGTCCATAAAAAAAAAAATCCTGTCGCTTTTGAGATACAGGGAAGGAGGGTTGAATTCAGCACCGCATTCTGATGACTGCAACACAAAGGTGGGAGCCCGATTTCCTCCCTGCTTGTGCGGTGGCCTGAAGCACAGGGCTCACCCACAACAGGGCCATGTATGGAGGAAGCAGAGCCATAGGAGTCTCTGGCAAGCACAAGTCATTAAAAGCCTTATCAGTGAGAACAGCCTCACATTGGGAGCTTCAAACTTCACTCCTCTTTCATCCTGAGGCCAGAGACGCAAAGCAGCAGTGTCAGCAGCAGGAGCCCTGTGCATGTGCATGCATGCTAAGGAAAGCAAGCGCTCGCTTGGGCTGCCGCCTCCAAGGCAAAGCTACCACAGCTTCCTCCCCCCCCACCACCTTGCATACACTTAGCTCTGGGTAACAAAGGGGCTCAGAGCAGCTAAGTCTGCAAGACTGGGCTAACGTGAGACAACCCTGGTTCCACAAAGTAGGGACAGAACTGAATCCCATTCGTTCTGTTCCATTCTGTGCTCTGTCAACCAGCATTTTTTCCTTCTCTTGTCTTATTAAGTAGTTTAAAGAAAGGGGAGACATTTCTCTTAAAGGGAGACACACATTTACAGGAAGACACACAGGCATTTATTTGCAGTCCCCCAAGAAAATCATCAATGCCGCATTTGATTGTGTGAGTATAAAGATGTGCTGATAGTCCTGATATCCCTGTATGTTTGGCAGCCCCAGAAAGGAAAAAAAAAAACAGAACAAAATGAGAGAAGTTAACTTTTGACAGGGAAAAACATGAGGGGATGCGCCAGTATCTGATGACTGATGGCTGACCTGTCTCTAAAGCCAGTCCACTGCTACAACGCCTGTGAGGGATGAGCTGCCACTGTTGTCACTGCAAGACTCCGGCAAGCTCTTGCAGCACAGAGAGCCAATAGGTGAGTCAGCCGCCCTGCTATGGGGAAAGCCAAATTATGGCTTTCAGACACCTAACGTTTCATCCTGTTTATGGTTATACAAAAAACTACAAATCCTTACAGTACTTTAAAAGAGAAAAGATGTGAGCTTCAGCATATTTCATTTTTGCAGACAAGAGCCAAAACTTCAAAACTTTCTTTCTCTCTCCTTGGCGAGACTCTGAGAGTTTTTAATGCTTTGGGGGGGGATTTTAGAACTCTCCCCCCCTCAAAAAAAATCACTGAAGCAATTTAATGCAAGATCAAAATCTTTCTGAATACTTTTGTAAGAAATTTGTGTTTTGCGTAAAATTCTATTTTTACCCCTAAAATTAAAAAAAAATCACACAAAGATTGAGTTTTTAAATACAACATCTCAAGATATCCTTTCCCATAAAGTATGAGAGAATGTGTGAATATTGTCTACATCCTTATTAAAACTAACCGATTTTATTATCACATAAAGTTTAAAGGCCATTGCCCACTCCATGAGGTGCATACAGGTGCATGCTGGCTCAGTTACAGAATCCTACACACATGCTTGAGTAGGTGAAGGTGTTGTAAATACTGAATTCCAAAGCAACCAAAATGTAAACAGCAGAAAGAGCAATAATCATCTTAGTCATGACCATTGAGAAAATATCAGTTTAGAGGGCAACAGTCATCCTTGCACAGACAAGCTGATCAACACATACAGGCTGAAATCCTGTTGCGTATGATTTCATTGCACTGTGTATGAGTTGTGTGCACCCTGAAATCATCTTTAATCAGTAGCAATTTGCTGCTGATGATGACATCACTACTACTTCACTATGAGAAATGCCCACTGTTACTATTCAAGCCAAAAGATATGAACCTTAGGTGAACTTATAACTAACTAAACATATGCCAACGATAATTATATGCTCCAAATGATGGTAAGCCCTGCCAGGATCCTCTACATATGAAGTATTCAGAAGTGATTTACCAGTCTTTTCTTCTGGTGATACTCTGCAACTGTGCCCAAGCCTACATAGTGTGGGCCTTCAGCTGGGAGGCAAAGCAAAGAGTAGAACTCCCAACAAGATATTCCAACTCACTGAGCTATCCTGTCCTCACCATTTTAAATCAAGCTCCTCCAGATCATTAGAATTTCCTGCAGCATCTGCCACATTTCACTGCAGAAATGAATGCTCGAGTCCTTATTACAAACATGAACTTAAACAACATTTTAGCCATACTGCAATGATAGAAGTAATGATGCAAGAAGGTTTGTGGGAGGAGCACTTCCCTCCTATAGCCCAGAAACTGGAAAGCTACTTTTAATATATATTCCATTCCTGTTATTCAGTGCAGTGTTTAAAAAATAATTCACTGCTGCTATTTGTTGCAGGGTTTTAAAAAATTATTTCAGTGCATTGTTCAATTCTCTTACTTCTCATTCCTATCTCTAACCCCTTAAAAATGATTGGAACATGGCATAAAACTTGAAAAATTCCTGTGAAGTTACTAAAAATGCCTATAAGCACATTTTAAAGGTAATTTTGTAAGTAGTTAGAATTCGTTATTTGTTTTATATTGTTTGTTGCTTGTTCAGTAACTTGTGGAATGGGACTGACACTCTCATTACCAAAAAAAGAGGGTAACCCCTTACATGCTGTGAACATTCACCCCAGACCAGTGATAATGGTTTTGTAATTTTTACAATAATATTTTTTAAAGCTAGGTCCCAAAGCTCAGTGATAACAGACATCTTTTTCATGTAGAAGGTCTCAAGTTCAATTCTTAGTATACCCAGGAAGGGCAAACAGCCTCTGCTGAGCTAGATGGAGCAAGCACTTGATCGGGTAAACCCCAATTTTACTTCAATGGTCCTATTTCATTTTGTCCTTACCTATACTGTGCTTGGAAGTGGTTCTGCACAAAACTCTGTCCCTTTGTGCTCCCAGTACTGGAACCCTCTTCTGGGCCAGGTTGAGGCTGTAAAGAAAACACAGTCAGAGTTACAGAAAGACTGAAGGACTTCTCCCCAGCGATTCAGCCATGCCCACGAGTCACTGTTACGTCTTTTTAACACAGCTTTTTATGTAGGTTCTCAATGTTCCTGCTTTCCACCTGGCTCTCACACAATTTCTCTCACCTCCTACTCTCTTTCAGTCAAAAAATAACATCTAAAGTAGTGATAGTGGTGGGGAATTATTACTTAGCTGACCATGTTTGCAAACTGGCATTTTAAAAATTAGAACCCAGGTGGTTTGCTTGATTTTTTTTCACAAGTATACCCATTTTGCCCTTCTCTACTGAATTGCTTCAATGGTCACAGACTACAAAGCTACCTGTTTCAAAGTGGTAAAAATCTCCCCCCCACCACTCTACATCAAATAAACAATAAGAAGGCTGTGCTATTATCTTCCAGCTGCTGAAAAGACCCATACAGCATAGCTGCCATCCCATGGTGAGTCCAGACAAGTGGTATATGCATTTGTGTAAGCATACTCTTTCAGTGACAGAATTTTGCCAAGCAACACTGGCTGAAATTCTGTTGCACAACTCCGTGTGTGCAACACTAAGCCGAGTCACCAGCTCAGAAAATCACAGCACAGCAGAAGTGCTATTCATCAAGCACTTCTGCATGTGTGCTAGGCGAGAATTGCAACAGGAACCAGGTGACCAACTGGCCAACCCTTGTGGCCTCCATAATGCCCAGCACACATATGCAGGTGTAACTTTACTTTGCATGAAAACAAAGAAGGTTTCAGCCACTGTCCTCCACTTCTAATCTTCCTGAGTTTTCCCACAGTAAGATGCTTTTATTTTTAATTTCTGAAAAAAAAAAAAAAATAGAAGGAAGGAAGGAAGGAAGGAAGGAAGGAAGGAAGGAAGG